ACTTGTGTTCACTTGGCAATTTATATGAACTACTGGATGCAATCTGCACTTGTATTCACTTAGCCACAGACTATTTTATCTTAGATTTATCCATTTATCAACCCCCAGAAATTCTAATTAGTTTTTTGTAACAAAGCAACACCACATTGTCTTAAAAGAAAGAGTATGCTATCATTAATCAGCAGAGACTTAAATGCATAGTGACTCTTGAGTCATCTTCTGAACACAGCTAACCAAAAATATTCAGAAAATGCAAACAATAAACTTAACCAGACTTAGAGAATGTAAAATGATCATGACATATATAATCTGACAATAAACTATAATTCTTTCAGTAAATATACACAAAAATACAAAAATGATATATCAGCATCAGCAGGTTGCTCTTATTATCAGACATCCAATAGCACAAAATAAGATGAAAACTTGAAAAGGACAGAGGCTCAAGTTTCTTGATACACAAACACATACAAACACAGAGAACTCCACAAATATTGAGCTAAGAATGTATAAACTGCTTAAACATGCACCGTTACTTATTACTTCTATGGACTGTTATTGAGCATTTACTTGAATCGCTTCTCAAGACCAGAGCAAAATTCCAAAGACATAAAGTAATTGGAAAAGAAAAAAAAATTAAACAAAGACAGTACAAAATACAAAATACCAAAAAAAGGGTGCATCAATCTATGACAAAGTTTTCAATAGAAAGGATATAATTATTCATCAGCCACATAAAGAAATTAATGAGATAGAAAGAGTGAAATGAAGTTCTAATCTATTTCTCGTTGATACCTTAATTATTTGATTAAAGGGGATCTCACCCCATTTGGCAATTTACTGAAATTCATGCTTTCCATTAATGATGGATGTAAGTCTCTTCTACCAAAATTCTTCAGCATCCTAATATAATTTGGCCAATGGTGAGACATCCAAATTAAAAGAAGCTTCAATAGCATGCTTGCATGCTTTACCAACTTTAAATGCTAAATTCTTGTATGAAAATAACTTTGTTGAGATCTAATCTACATCTGCTTGCACCAGTTTCACTTAATAAATGAATAAATTCTAGGATTTAGTCCAATATATGCAATGAATACTTACCATGAAGATGATCTTCCAATGATCCCAATGGCATAAATTCATAGACAAGAAGCCGCTGGTCCCCATCAGCACAATAACCAATCAGGTTCACTAGGTTAGGATGATGAAGAAGGCTTAGCATGAGAACCTCCACCAGGAACTCCCTGTTACCTTGGAGACCATTTCTATCCAATTGTTTGACCGCAACAACCTGCAAAGGAAAAATATATTTCAAAAGTATAGAAAAACAAGCTCTTCCAGCAAAGCAAGATCTAGTCAGTTCTCCCAAAAAATGGGAAAGCCAAAAGCAGCAGAATTATGCAAAGTATGATAATGGGATTTTATAAGCTCTGCACTTCCAACAAAATGTTAGTCAAGCCATAAAACCTTTAATTTTTCTGATTTTAGGTGATAAACCAAAGATCTTTCAATTTTACATAAACATACATGATTATCCTCTCAGGTACTGTGATTTTGAGAGAAATGTAGCACATGTAGTCAAGCGGAAGCTAATATCATAGTTGCATATCCACTCTCATGTCTCTTCTCTTCGAAAGGTTGAAGTCCAATGATTTTTGAAACAATGGCCATTCATGCAACAAAAAGCATTCAAGCAAACCAAAACCAAAGATGTACCAAAAATTTGCTGTGTATGACAGCAGCATAAAAGAGGTCATGTTTGGTTTGAATAATAGGTATTCCAAGGTCAAACTACAAAAATGAAGGTAAAATTGAGAAGCTTCTTTAAGAAGCTTAGAATATGTACTCCTTAACAGATATTTTCTACTCATTTAAGAGATGATTAAGGAATACCTATTCCTTAAGGGGAGATGGGGAATACATATTCCTTAATCATATCTTAATTTAGTAGAAATTATAGCTATTAAGGAATACATGTTACTAACTTCTCAAAAGAAGTTTTACAAATTTGTCTTACATTCATAGTTTGACCAAGGAATACAACCAAACAAGCCCCAAATTAAAGCTCCTTTCTAATACTGGAGTGTCAAGGAACCCATGTAGCATCAACAACCTCAACAAGGATAAGCAGTAGTGGAAGAATGAAATTAAGTTGCAGTTAACATTGTTTACATGGACAGAACATCAGGAGTAAAAGATAAGAGACAAACCAAGTCCAGCTATTCTATTGCACCATTAAGTTTTAAATTGGAGCTAGTTACCTAGATCAGAATGCGATATTTTGTAAAATCATAAGCTTCTAATATAGTGAGGAAGAGTTAGAACAAATTCCATTAACTGGTAGTCTTACAACTTGTTGATAGTTACTTTAAAACATTACTTCCTGTGCTCTGAAAGTGGAATACACAATTTTGGAAACCGATTTACTTGAACATTTTCCTATCCTTAAATTTCCTTTTTAACTGCTACAAGTTTGTACATCTTTCTTTCAACTGCTAAGAGTTTGTAAATTAGCCTCATTTGTTGGGTTCTTATATTCTTATAGAGGAAAGCTCATAAACATGGTTCATGCCAAAGAAGAAGGCTTAGAAGTAATTAATCTCGGTATAATTCATAACCTAATTTTCACGTTTACATCAACTGGTTTGGAATATCATACGAAAAAGGAAAAAAAGTAAAAACGATTGGATTTACCTGACCAGTGCTCTCAAGCTGTCCTTTGTACACACGGCCAAAACCCCCTTCCCCTATGAAACACTCTGGCCTGAAATTCTTTGTTGCTGCTGCAAGCTCACGAAAAGTAAAAGTTTGAGCAGCAATTTGGACACTAGGCCCATCCCTGGAAGCTGGCAAGTCCCTCTTACACCCAAAATTACTTCCTGATCTAAGTTTGTCCCCTCCTGTCAATTTCATTAAAACAAATAACCAAAATCTAATTAAAAGTTCAGAGTGACATTCAGAGATCAAGAATTTAAACCTGAACTAGTATGATTGAAGGGAAACAAAAATTCAATCATGATGGTGAAAATAAGCTCCAACAAAATTTAAATGACATACACTATCCAACTTGAAAGCAGATGATGTACTTTGGCTGTCGAACATAGTGAAAATCTATTTTACCAAATTTGAATGGCATGGCAATAATATAAATCACGAACATCTATACTTAGCAATTCATTTAGATTCAAATTCCTCAACCTAACAAATCAACAATCAGATCAACCCGATCAATCAAATTCATAACAGATCCCATTTCCTTTTACAAACAGCATCAAACTCAGGTAGGGTCAAGTAGAAACAACAGAAAATTTCAAGTTGCAAAATTCTATCAACAAAATCAACCATGTAATAATCCACCTAAAAAAGCCAGAATTTTTAATAATACTACAAACACATCATCATTAAGTTCATCGCAAACAATAATCAATTAGAAAGAACCAGATCAGATCAATAAAAATAAATAAATATACTAAAAAATGATTAATCATATAGATTAGCAAATAAATATAAACAAACTAACCAGATGATAATTTGGAAATGTTAGGGGAGACCACAGCTTGGCCTTGCTTTCGATCATCGGTTTCCTTCTCAGGATTCAGCCTTTCCTCCTCCCTCGAATCGAAACAAGGAAAACAACCCATCTCCTCAAAATCAAACCAAACAGAAAATGAAAAACAAAATCCTTAATTTCTTAAACAAATCAAATTCAGTCAATCTCAATCAACAACCCATGTTCCAATACTGTTGTTCCCCAAATTCCCACCAAGAAATTCCCAGAAAACGGTTTCTCCTCTCTCACTTTCCTCAATCCGATCAAACCCAGATGAATCAAACTCAAAACCCACAAACCCCAATAACAATAGCACAGGAAAAACAATATATTAAAAAAAAAATACAAACTTTAGGTTATATATTGCTTCGATGAGGTAAGAACATAGACTTTAGGAGTGAAACAGAAGACAAATGTAAGAAGCCGGTTTTGCCTTCGTGTCTAGTTTAGACCAACTTATAGGCGCTCTACACCCTAATTTGACCAAATATGCTGTAATGAAAAATAACCACAGTCCCCTCTAGATTTTCTCATGCTAATTCCACGCATCTACCCTCGAGTCAATCTTGGGCAAAATACCGGTTTTGGAGACCAAAGGTGGCAAGTCAATTAAGCAGATATATATATTTTTTATTAATAGGTGATAATAAATTTTTTTTAATGATATAATTAGCATATAATATTTTCAATTTATAATATAAATTTTTTATGTAATTAATTTTTTAATTTAGAAACTATTATTTTTTTGTATTGTTATATATATTTATTAATTTAATAACATGTTATAAATATAAATTTAAAATTTTATATGATATCATAATTATAAAACTCAGTACATATCAGTCTCCATTTTTTAAAAAAATTAAATTTTTAACTTATATTTTGAAATTAAATTTTTAATTTAAAATTTAAAATTTTATTTTATTAAATGTTGATATCTAAATTTAAAAATGATTATATATGTTAATATAATTAGTTTCTAAATCTAAATATTAACATTTAATAGGATAACTTTTTAAATTTTAAATTATATTT